ATTGTTGGCTCCCATTTTATACATCATATACAACAGTGACTTCCCTAACCGCTACACCCGCACAACCAATTTACTCTATGCAGATGACACAGCTCTCGTAACAACAGAACGAGACGTTGATTCAGTTCGTGGATTTGCCCAAAATCACCTTAACCTGGTCGACAGGTCGTGTCGGAGATGGCGAGTAACACCCAACCCAAATGATTCTCTTTAGGCATCCATCGCACAGCTAATCTGTCACACCCATAATTTCCGCAAGGCACAATCATAGACTTTGGGGAGACCGACTACAGTTCCGTGACCGGATCGAGTACCTCAGTGTGGTGTTTATAGATTATAGATCTAATATCTATATTACGATGCACGACCACAACACAAAAATATTGCTAGCGTTGGAGAGGAGAATCTTAAGTAGAGTAAACAACAAGCGACACGATTACCCTTCCGCCCTTATACATCACCTGTCGAATATCCAACCCATCAATGAGAGGCTTTCCTCTCTGAGCAGGAGTTATATAATCCGCACCATCCGGGGCCAAAACCTCAGAGCCCAAAGCATCCTAAAAACTACCGGCTCATCCATCTTCAATGTATTCAGAAAACTTCCCAGACCCAAATTCCCTCTCCTATCCGCTATTTTACTAGCTATTGCCAGCAACAAACTCCCTGAGTACATTGACATACAGGAGGCAACTCCCTCTTCTATCGTCGTCGCCATTAACGTTAAAAGCTCACTTCGAGCTTGTTCTAGACAGGGGGATCGGATTTCTGTGGTTTCCCGATCCCATTGCACAACAATACCTGTCTATTGCAGAGGATACAACCACAGCTGCCCTCTCGCGTCGCGTTTCATACAGTTATTAATTTACTAAATCAATAAACTCATATAATCTCATATACTAATTATATTTCTTTAGATCAATAAATTCTGAAAAGAACCGTTTAACCATTGCCTTTCACCTCTGATTGTCTAGGCGCTCCTCCAACGACCACCAGTGGATCCACGACGAAAACCCACCAGCCAACCACACAAACAAAAACGAACCGCGTACTGAAGAGGTAGAAAGCTTATAAGAGGACAACAAAAATCCAGATTGAAGAAACCACCCACAGAAAGTCAAAACAAACAATGAGTCGAACAACGCGGCGTCAGTTTCAGCTCACAAGCGAAGCAGTAACATCTTCAGAAGATGCCAACCAATAGTGTTGGCAAAACGTCGAGAACTAATCTCACAAGACAACGGCCTAACAGCCCGAACAAACAGTATCAAGAGTATGTCATAAATTTTATTTGATGGTAGAATTGATCTATTGGGTAAATTTTGGGAACAGATAATAATAATAATAATAATAATAGCGTTTATTGTCCAACAGAATCCATTTATAGGACAAAATACAATACTAAAGTTAAATGAAATATTAATAATTCATAGGTACTAACTAAATAACACATTTTTCGAGTATTTAACATAAAGAAACTACTTAATCACCTAGGCAGATCTCAGCCATCCTAGTGAGCTGCTTTAAACTGCAGTGAAATATATCGCAGTAAGCACTTAAGGAATTATAATAGTTGCACATGAGAAATAGAGGAGAATTTAACATAAGATTAGTTCTAGCTTGTGTATTTCTGAACGTAATCGAATTTCTCACTGGATAAGATGGAACGTTAAAATTTATTTGTCGAAGAATATCAGAGCAGTCAATGAGATTATGTAGTAGCTTGTACAGGAATATTAGGGAGGCATTAATTCGTCTAGATTCTAATGATACTACGTCCAAACCGCTACACAACTCGCTATTGCTGATGCCCCTCCTGGGATATATGCCGTTAATTTTGAAAGACAAAAATTTCGACTATTTCTAATTATGAATCCATAAGATTTAAGTGCTTCTTTAACCTTTAAATTAACATGTTCAACAAAGGTGAGTTTATAATCAAATGTAACTCCAAGGTCTTTAATTTTATTCAAACGATCAAGTTCATTGCCATCGATAATATAAGGATGGTATATATTAGACTGTTTCCTAGAATAACTAACTACTTTGCACTTATTGGCATTAAGATTCAAATGATTTGCATTACACCATTCATGTACACGATTCAGTTCACTCTGTAGAAAATGACAATCATTAAGGTCGCTTATCAATGAATAAATCTTTAAATCATCGGCATAACATAAACATGGTGCAGAAATTGATTCACACAGATCGTTAATAAATAACAAGAACAATAATGGACCTAGATTAGAACCTTGTGGAACCCCTGAAGAAGCTAGGTACTTTTCCGATTTGTAACCATTATAAGCAACAAACTGCGTTCTATTTGACAAGTAAGACTTCATAAAAGTCACGGCATCCTCAGAAAGACCAAAGAGACACAATTTAGAAAGTAATACGCCGTTGAATTCTGTCGAATGCCTTCGTAAAGTCAGTATATATGACGTCAACTTGACTTCTATTATCTAGGGCTGCTGAGATATATTGTGTGACCATTAATAAGTTTGTCACAGTGGACCGATTGGAGACAAAACCATGTTGATATTGAGACAGCTGATTACGAGTGTGTGAATAAATACGATTATACAAAACTATTTCAAAGACTTTCGATAGAATACAAATAATGAAAATTGGTCTGTAGTTTTCTACCTGACCCTTTTTACCAGTTTTGAATATTGGGCACACTTTTGACTCCTTCCAGAGACTCGGATATTCCTTGTTAAGAAGACATAAATTAAAAATTTTTAAAAGTGGCACAGTTAAGGCACCTATACAATCCTTAACCAAAAAGGATGGAATATTATCAGGTCCACACGTCATTTTGTCTTTCAATTTCTTACTCGCAAAAATTATCTCAGACTCTAAAATAGGATAAAAATTTAAGTAATCTGCGTTAACTGAGGAAGAGTTAGCCTTGAAATTAATATCTGATGACAGAAAAACACTCTTGAAAAATTCTGCAAAAACATTCACAATATTTTGTGGGTCGGAGGTAGTAATGTCATTATATTTCATCACACCAGGAATTCTTGAACTATTATTTTTTGAATTTACATAAGACCAAAACTTCTTGGGGTTGAAGAATAAAGCAATTTGGATATTCTCGACATATACATTGTATGCCAAACTGATTTTTGATTTGACAAGGTGTCTTAACGGTTGAAACTCAAGCAAATCACAATGGTTTTTGAATCGTTTAAACTTTTTTCTAAACTTTGCTTTTAATTTGATGTTGTGAATGATATCAGCATCGAACCAGGGGGGGTATTTATAGCTAAAGTTTTTATAAACTGGAATATACTTATTAAACACAGAAAAAATCTTATCATAAAAGTTATTTAAAGTCTCATTAACGTCATTAGAAGTATCCAGAGAATTCCAATCCGTTTCATACAGTTCTCGATATAAAGCAGGAAAATTTGCTTTTTTAAAGTTGTAAGTTAATTGCTTCAAACCACACTTAAATTTAGGCTCTTTTACAAATATATCCGTAAATGTTATTAGAAGAGCTGGATGATGAGAGTCTTCATAGACCAAAGGTGAGTCATCATGCTTCACATCACAACTGAAATGCGATAAGACCAAATCTAGCAGTCTACCCAAATGATTAACAACATTGTTAAATTGTCTAAGGCCAGTAGAGCCCGCAAAACTTAAAACTACAGAAGTTTTGAAATCAGACATATCATTATCTATAAACCTTGAAACATTAAAATCGCCTAGTACTATACAGTCATTATTTAAGTAATCAAATTGTCCTAAGCAATCGAAAAAATATTCAAAGTCTACCAAACTTAATCTATCAGGTAAATAAACAACAACTATATAAAAATATTTGTAACCAATCCGGCACTTGACAATAATAAGATCAATTAGTGGAAATTGTGCGTCGAGAGCCGTGATGTCCAATATTTCAGATGTTATGAAATCTTTTAACGCGAGCACTACACCACCACCCTTCACTTTATCCACCTCATGGAATTTTCGGTCTTTTCTGTATACGACATAATTATTCGGAAAGAGTTCCATACTCGAAACATCACTGCGTAACCACGTTTCACTTAATGCTATGATGTCGAATTCACAATCACTAACGTTTGCAATAAATAATGAAATTTTGCTATTAAGGCCGCGTACATTTTGGTAATAACATGTTATTTCAACGTATTGTGATTTACTTGATCTGGAACTGCTGGACACATTTAGTTTAAAGAGCTCTCAGTTTTACTGACTATGGTAGGTCTACCCTTTACATACTTAATGATCAGATTTTGTTCTCCATTGTCTGTTCGACGTTTCAGTTCGGTCCGGAGGTCATTTAAGTATTGTCTCTGTCGAGGTGTTTTATCATCAGAAATTGAAATAGCAGAGAAAGTAGATGTGGCTAATTTATTCTTGATACGCAAAATAGACTTAGCCTGCGCGGGTGTTGAAAAGGTCACTTTCATTAGACGGGCCTTATTTGATCGTTTACCAATTCTGTGTACATGTCTTGCAGAAACCGGATTTGAATTACCACTTTGTATCGTAGTTAGAATATCATTTACTTTATTATTATCTTCCATAGCAGAATTAGTTTCTGGTACGTTATACAAAATGATATTGTGCGATCGATTAATACGGTCCATGGCTTCTTCAATTATCTCTTCCTGATGTTCGGATTGTATTGTAGGATTAATATTAGCTATTTTCCTTTCTAGATCCTGCATTTTAGTTTCCACAAGATTCGTTAAAAATTGCTTTAATTGAACAAACTTGTCCTCTCCGTTGCTACAAGTATTACATAGTACTTTGATATTTTTACTAAACAGATACTAAAAGAAGAGGGCCTCGCTGATGCGACTTCGTCCACCTCTAGATTAGTCCACGATACGCCACTATATTTAGGTACTTGATGTCATCTACGGTAAGTATAAGAAATAAAACATGTATTATTCGACTAGTAAATTTATATATAGCATTAAGTGTTGGGCTTTAAAGGGAGTGTTAGAAAATAAATTCATACGAAAATTATATTTTTTCGACACTCAAATATACACAATTCGATAGTATAAAAAATATTTACAAGTAAAAATAAATAATATTTACAGTAATTCTTACAGTTTACTTTGTACTTAATAATTATATTTAAAAACCATCAGCTTAACAGCGCTGTTAATGCGTCAAAAAATCTCGTCCTATCTTTGGCGTGTATTTCAAAATCTAAAATAAAAAAAAAGATTATTAAAATAAAACAGTTATATTTCAATAAAATGGTAGAATATTTGCAAATTGTTCGATATAAGATAATTTTTTTAGAAAAAAAAAATCAAAATAAAGTAAAAATTGAAAAATTAAAATCTAAAATAAAAAAAAAATTAGGACCAGAGCCAAACAAAGCTATTGCCACTTGTTACAATATGTTGCTATGATTGTCTAGTTTCGAATTCACGAAACGAATTCACGAATTTTCGAAACAAAGCTATTGTCATTTTTACCAATCTGTTGCATGATTGTCTAGTTTCGAATTCCTTTTTCTATCAGATCTTTAGTCACGTCATCACACCATCTTTTCCTTGGGTTTCCTTTCTTTTTTATTTTCATTTCTGTTTTCATCGTTTCTTTAACCTTTCAGCGCTCTTGCCCATATTTTTTACATCATAGCGCGCGTGTCATATTTTTTATGTATTTTGGATAAATGTGAGTTATCTGATATTTCTTGAATGTAAATTATAAAAACATAAATATATTACAAATAATAATAAATAAACATATTTATTTGCAAAATTTACAAATTAAAACAGAAATTACACTTTTACTTTTTAGTCTAGGTAAACAAATAAATCAATATACAGTTAAAAACTATCATCCTGATTGTTTGTATTACAGGAGTTACACAGAATTGTAGTAAGTGAATGTTTTTTGCAAGTAAAAGAATTGCATTTAACGCATTTCATGGATGCCGTTGTCCTTTTTCTTTCCGCGTTACAAGAACGACAAACTCCACGTTTTGAAAGACGAACTGTTTCCTCGTGTTCATTTACAGTTTGTCCATATCTAACTTTTAGAAATGCGCCGACATTGACAATGAGGGTAAATTGGTTAGCTGAGCTCTTGAAACAAGGTGCTCTTTCATTACACTCAGCGACAAATTTTTCAAAAAAATTCTTCGATCTTTTGGGCAATTATCAGGACACGAAAATCTATATAAAACTTGCGCATTCCACTTATGTTCAATAAACTGTAAAATATAACACAAGGCCATCTCCTGGAAATGCGAGAAGCTGAATATGTTGCACACATTTTGTCCACTGTATCAACACCCCCCTTAGTTGCATTATAATCCATAATTACTTATGGTTTTTGAGTGTCTGGATGTATTTCGTCGTTATCGTGTAAAGTTGAAAGCAGAATTACAGTTTTGTTTTTGCGAGGCACAAAAGACACAAGCATCATGTCTTTTTGGAATCCAAAAAGATAACTTTTAGTAACTTTTTGCTTGTTAGGTAAAAATTCTGCAGGAATTTCTGCCTTATTTTTTTTCAAAGTTCCAACTAACGTGATATTTTTTTGCAGTAAATAATTAGCAAGTGGAATACTAGTATAGTAGTTGTCGGTAGTAAGATTTCGATTGCTATTTTCTATCGAAGCAACAAGTCTCTTTACAATGTCAGTTGGTGAGTTGGATGTAACGTACGGACCATCGGGCTGTTTGCCGCAATATATTTCTAAATTTGAAGTATAGCATGTCTTTGTATCACATAAAGCGTACATTTTGATGCAGTATTTTGCTGGTTTGCTTGGCATGTATTGCACCCAACTGAAACGACCTCGAAAAGGGTGAAGCATTTCGTCTATTGTAACGTATGCACCAAGTTTAAAGGATGTTTGAATATTGGTCACAAATGCATCAAAAAAGTCACGAATTGCAGCCAATTTGTCAATTTTGCGGCGCTCAAATCTGGTTGTGCGATCATCAAATCTCAATCAATTTGTTATAAACAAAAATCGTTTGTAACTCATAACAGCCATTGTTATCTCAATTCCTGTTCCGTCGCTTGCCCAAATCTCTCTTGCTCTCCTTGTTCTCTTTCTCAATATATCCTTGCAGTCTCGTTCTCTAGAATATACTTGACGTGTTCTTATTTCAGCAATATATTTATTAGTGCAGCATATAATATTGTCGATCATGTCAATGTCTATTATTTTCAAAAAGGCTTATTGCTCATTATTGATATTTCGGGCTCTATGAGTGACACCAGGCTGCTCTTTTACAATGTTAATTTTTTTTATCTTCGATGAAGTTGCCGTTTTCATTTTGTACCATTTGGTAGTTTTATCTTTTGCTACATAATAGTCAGAAAATGAAGCTGTTACGGATTCATAATCGGATAATCCCTCTTCAGAACAACTGTCTACATCTTCTTCTTCTATATACTCCTCAGACAAATCACTATCACTAGACACAGCGTGATCTGACTCGTTTTCGTTTTGATCCCATAAATGCTCAGCTAAATAAGCAATCTCCTCTGTTGACAAAGGACGTTTAGACATTTTCTTGGTTTATCTGAAAAAAAAACAAAATTCAATATCAATATTATTATTATTATTTAATTTCTAAACTTAAAATCTGATACAGAATGCAAATAAGCGAAATAAAATTGTTTAAGATCATAATACTTACATAAATAAAAATAATTACTCCAAAACTCGCGTGCTATAAAATTTATGATGACTGTTCCTCTTCATTCAAATATCTCACAACAACTAAATTCAGTATCCTATCCACTATCCAACCAACCAAATTTACCTGCCACATCGTACCTAACGGGTCATTTCAAGAATAGAAAACTGTTAGGCAGCAACTAAATTTAGAATAACAGTGGCGTACACTATTTTGTTAAATTGTCATAAAATTTATGTAGGCGCGCGCTGAAAGGTTAAGTGCTTTTTTCTCATTTTTTCTCATTTCCTATCAATATTTTTCTCTATGAGATTTTCGATAGTTTCTCTGCTGTACTCTGACAAGAAATTGGGGAGGGTGACTCAAATAATATCACTACAAATCAAAATAATATCGGTTCAAAAATTCACATTTTGATAGCTCTCTATTCGTTTTAACGAGTAATATGAGGTCCTTTATAGTGAGGCAGCTGTAATAACAGACATATTCACGATATGTTTTAAAATTAAAATTTGATCAGTGATACTTACAGGATGTGTCAATGAAGTCACAGGATGCGTCACAGTTTACTCGTTCAGCGGCTTGTTCAAAAGCTTTTCCAAAAAAGCTTAAAAGGAAATAAAACAGTAAGTATAAAAAATATAATTATATGTATAACGATATAATCATCTAAGCTAAACGTAAAACAGGCCCATTTTAATTTCTACAATTTATTACAAGGAGTTTAAAATTTTAATACATATTTAACGGCCCATTTTTATTTCTACAATTTATTACAAGGAGTTTAAAATTTTTCAGAAAAAAAGCCATACTGTAAAAATTTGTTATACTTATTTATATTTTTTATTAGAAGAAAAGAATCTGTCTAATCCTACTATTGACCAATATTTTGTATTTAACCTAATCTACAATTTATGCTCCAGTTACTCCTAATGGTTCACCTTAAAAATGGTGCGCATTGCTACGCCACAAACTAAAATAAAATTGAAGGAAAGAAAAAAAAACAGAAAAGGAAAAAGACAGTCAAGATTTGATTTCACATATATAGTGCGTCAGAGCAGGAGATAAAGGTCAGAATAGAAATAGCTCGAAAAGGCTTTATAAAATACAAGTCAATGTTTACAAATAAGAAATTGACTATGGCCATCAGATTGAGGTTCGTCGAATGTTATGTTTGGTCGCAAATACTATATGGGGTAGAAGCTTGGACTCTGAAATTTTTTGTCCCAAGTATATATATTCTTCAACTTTTTCTATAACTTTATCGTTTATTATTGTCACGGTGTCTTCGGAGTGCATGACTTTTGTTTTGTTTAAATTCATTTTCAGTCCTATTTTAGAAGATTCGGTATGAAGTTCTACAAGCATGGTTTGCATTTCTTGTAGGTCAGTAGCTATCAGGATTATGTCATCTGCAAATCGTAGATTACTGAGGTAGCGGCCATTGATGTTTATTCCCTTATATTTCCAATTTAGGTTTTTAAAAACCTCCTCCAAAACTAAGGTGAACAGTTTGGGTGATAAAGTATCTCCCTGTTTGACTCCCCTGTTTAATGGTACAGGGTTCGTGTGTTCATTTTCATTTAGGTAGTATGTAGCTGTAGCTTGGTTCATAGTTTCTTTTATTAAGTTAATATATCTGCTGTCTATTCTACAATTTTGCATTGCGTTTATTACGGCCGTGTGTTCTATGGTATCGAAAGCTTTTTCGTAGTCTACACATGCAAGGAAAACTGGAAACTTGTATTCGTTACATTTTTCTATTAATATTTTTGTGGTTAACAGGTGATCGGAAGTTGAATAGCCTTTTCTAAAACCTGCCTGTTCATATGGTTGGTATTCGTCTAATTTCCTTGTTAGTCGAGTAGTTATGACTTTGGTGAGTATTTTAAACAGGTGTGACAGTAGGCTGATGGGTCTGTAGTTTTCTAATTTTCGACTATCACCTTTCTTGTGCAATAAGATTACTTTAGAGTTGTTCCAGCTCTTAGGAACTTTGCCCTGATGTAAACAACTGTCCACAAGCTTAGTTACAATTGCAATTAGTTCCTTACCTCCTTCTAATATCATATCTGTGGTAATACTATCTTCTCCTGCAGCTTTATTTCTCTTCATGTTTTCCAATGCTGTAGTTACCTCTGAAATTGTTACTTTTCAAGTTCAAGAGTATCCAGTACAAATTTCAGAGTGATCGGAGCACAATTAATGGAGTTATAGACATTTAGTAGTGAGTGAGATGAGCGATTGAGTGAGTAAGTGAGTGAAGTGAATGAGTGAGTTTAGTGAGTGAGGTAACTGTTTGACTTGACTGATCGAGGTGAGTGATCGAAGTAAGTGAGTGAGTGAAGGGGAACACCCAGAAGGAAATGGATAGATCAGATCGAAGAAATGGGAAAGAATAAAGGGAAAACTATTGAAGAGTTAAAGACGATGATAATTTCTATGGTCCACTTCAGTTGAAAAACGTTATTTTTTAGATTGCAACTCTTGACTTTTGTCATGTCAGTTGCACTTTAATATAGAAGAGGAATTATTTTTTATATCTTTCGTCTACTTAAGCTTAATTTTCTGTCCCACATTCATTTATATTATTAAATCTTTCTTGGGGAAAATTTATATTTAATATGTAACAATAAAACACTGAAAACTTTGTTTTCAAAACATCCACAAATTTATTTTAAACTCTTATCACTACAGCTGTTTCGGCTGGTTGCCTTTCTTAAGAGCGTAGGCCCAAAATTTCGGGCCAATGCTTTTTAAATGCAATCATTTTTTTCGAATCCTGAGAAAACTAATAAATATTTTTGAAAAATTTAAACGCAGAATGAAAGATTACATCATTACCGAGGGCCGAAAGTCCCTGAAAACTTCTATAATGTTTATTTTAATTAGTTACAGGGGTGAAAAACAAGAGAAAATTTAGTGTGATTTTTAATCTCATATATCTCATTCAAAAAAACTTTTTGTTTATTCTAAGGACTTTCGGCCCTCGGTAATAATGTAATCTTTCATTCTGCGTTTAAATTTTTCAAAAATATGTTTTAGTTTTTTCAGGATTCGAAAAAAATGAACACTATGTCCGCGGTAATATTTTCCAAATCGAACATTCCCTATCTTTGTCATACAACGCACTCAGTCGAACTGAAAGTGGTGGCAAAGCTACTAAATGTTTGACACGGCTTCAGGAATATTTTGTGTTGCTTATTAAATAATATTAATAGTTTATTTGATAAATAATTAATTTAAGATGTGAAATTAATAATAAATGATTTATTATTTATTATTTATGGAAGATCTAAGTATCAGATGAAGTCATTAAAGTTCAAATAAAAGTATTATTTTATAAGAGTTTGTTTTCATAATCGTAAATGCGAGTTTAGGAATAAACTAAAGTGCCCATGGTGTAGATATGAAAAGCTACGAAGGTGGCGCATGACAATATCTTGAGTGAATTATTAAATTTTGACATCATAAATAATGATTACTTTTCATGAAGAGGTATAACGCTTTTTTTTCATTTTACACATCTACATATTTTTTTGTTTATTTTTTTTAGAGTTTAAGGATTAAAACACTTTTCAATGTTGTAGCTTTCAGTTCAATTTACCATTATTGTTTATTTACAATATTTATCTTGGACTATATCAATGGTACTTTTAAGACTTAAAACTTAAATTGTTTGTCTATTGATATAGAAGAAAGTGGTTACATAGGCCTCTGGAAAATACATAGTATAATAACTAGGTACCTACATTCAAAGTAAAATAAAAACTATTAATTAAAAGATATTAAGTATGTTAAGTGTAATAAATATTCTCTGCAATAAGATCCTATTAATCATAATTAATAACTTATCATTATTGAATTATTTCAAAAGTGTGTTTCCTGGATTGTTTTATATGCTTTTTATTACCCTAAGAAATTACATATAAATGAGTGTTTACAAGAGGTAAAAACATCTGGGCTTGAAATTTTTGCGTGTCGATGCCCTACTATTATATCTATGTCGATGCAGTTCTAGGAAAACGTGTCTGTCGACTCTCAAAACAGATGTATTATCAAAAGTGTTCGAAATAAATTTGCAATGGGAATGTAAAGGCAATTTTAAAATTATTTTGAAATATACGAGGGGTCTCATAAAGTGGACGTATCAAACGTATGTTTGTTTTTATGGAACTCCCGTATTTTATTGCATTTTTTATACATTATTATTGTAATTTCGGAGATATTCCGATTTTCCTTAAATTGTAGGGCATTAAAAAAATAATAACTCCTAAACCAATGAATTTAGCCAAACAATATTTATTTTAATTGTAGGGAAAGCGTAATAATAGAGAATACCGACGTATTTAAAGTTATATGCAAATACACAGGGTGTCAATTATTTATAATTATTATTTTATTATATGTTATATCACAATTATTTCACAATTAAATTTTGTTTTTTTTAGGTATATTAAATTTTTTAATATTTTTTTCCTTATTATTATTAGTTGTTTACCTTGGACAGCAATTAAATTGTAACGCAGAAAGTCACGACGAAATTAGATCTAGGATAGAGCAGGCTAGAACTTTAGAAGGATGTCCAAGGTGTTATGTAACAGAGACCTAAAATTGACTTTGAGGAACCGCCTACTTCGCTGCTACGTGGTCTCAGTCTTACTTTATGATGTCGAGTCCTGGACTGTAAATAAAATCGATCTAAATCGCCTTGAGGGTTTCGAAATGTGGTGCTATAGAAGAATTTTAAAAGTTTCCTGGGTGGAGAAGATTCGAAACTCCACAATACTAAAATGTCTTAGCAAGACCACTGAGATCATAAAAAGCACCAAACAGAGAAAACTGGAGTATTTTGGACATGTAAAGAGAGGTGCCAAATATAGGTTGCTACAAAATATCATTCAAGAAAAAATAGCAGGCAAACGCAGTTAGGACGAAGAATAACCTCATGGTTAAAGAACTTGCGAGATTGGTATGCTGTTGATACAAGCATGCTATTTACGGTGGTAGTGAATACAATTAAGATAGCTATAATGGTAACCAACGTTTCGAAAGAACATGGTACATGAAGAAGAAGAATATTTTTTCCTTAATTAGAACACTTTGTATATGAACGTATGACTATACTTTAACTATATTATCGTTTCAACAATATATAGGATATCTTAAGCACAGAATAATAAACAATCAGAATGCCCACTCTGCTTAAAAAAAAAGAAGTACACGCATCTTCTTCGCGCAGAAGAAATCAGCCATGTTTTAGTCGGAACCGGTGCTGTTCAGTGACACATGGTGTGCATAGACAAATTAACCCGGTTTAATTTATTTACTGCAACTACAGACATAATATGCACTTTCACATTTTATTCGTACTTTTAGTTGAAGAGTAGATTAAATTATTTCAGAGTTTATTAATAGACTAAATTATTAATAATTTTGTGAAGGGCTTGTTGATATTGACCCTTAGAATTGTACGACATACTTCATAGTAACCATACCATACTTGGTGGACCATACTTCAAGGTAAAGTGCATGGGAAAAGAGGTCCAGGACGGAGAAGAATATCCTGGCTGCATAACCTGCGGAAATGGTTTAACTTAACCACTA